CGCCGAGGGCCGCACTCTTCATTCGTATGCCGTTGAACTCGTTCGCATGTCGTTAAACTCAAAATGAGAATGAATTCTCTGCTAGAACAGGGAAAGATACATGATCACGTGTCTCTAATGATGTACGAGTTTAGCGTGCACGCGTCCCCTACGAGGCGCTTGGACCTTGAACCGACTGCGCTTCGGGGTATCGTCTGGGGGCTAAAGACCAGAGCACGTTCTATTTCGGGCCAAGACGGCGGCAGTCTTTCGGCCCTTTCGGCCCGGCGCCCCTATTTATTCCTTTGCCAACGGGCGACTCGAATTTCCCTGCTTGCAATCCAATTTGTGATCGAATGCAATTCAAATAAAACGATCCAATTAAAAAAAAAAAAAAAAAAAAGAAGAAGAAGAAGAAGAAGAAGAAGAAGATCCAATTGCGTAAGGAGAGGATTGGATTGAAGCGAATCTAATCGAGTCTAATTGCTTTTGCTTGCAACCAAAACTGTGAAATTACTCTGAATTAATGCAATTTAATTTAATCGATCCCATTGCGTAGGGATCGGACCGGCTTAAATCGGATCTAATCGACGGATACGATTCCAATTGTTTGCAAAAAATCGGTTAAGGATAGCCTAAGGATAGAAAAATGGAGTTTAATTGCTTGCATACCAAATTGTGAATTAATGCAATTGAATCGATCCGATTGGCAATGCGTAAAAGGTTCGAATCGGCTTAAATCGGATCTAATCCATGGATAAAATCCAATTGCTTGATTTAACTATTTGGGAAAGGATCGGATTGAATCGAGTCGAATCGGATCGGATTGAATAGGATTGGATCGGATCGGATCGATTCGGATCGGATCGATTCGGATCGGATTGAATCGGGTCCAATCGGATTGAACATAATCGAATTGCTTATAATCCAACACAGCAACGGACGGTCGTTATAGTTGTGTCATTGTATCGGGGCAACTTTCGGCCTAGATAGAGCGATACTGCCCATGCGTTCTATTGCGGGAAAGAAGGGTAGATTGAGTTTGAGAAGTGTGAATTATTCATCGGACCAGTCGGATTCAATTCCATCACATGGAATTGGATGCATTGGTTCGTCTCATGGGGTCCATTTCGAATAGAGTGAGGAATGAGGAGGATGCTGTGAGGACGCAGGAGTGAGGAGAATGCTTTACGGTTCAACCACATTTGATCCGATTTGCCGGAGGGGAATGCTAGCGTTGACTTAGAGGCTAGAGCGGAACGGTCTAGGGCAGATTAGAAGCGGGTTTGCCGCAACTTTGCCCAAATTTCCAAGCAGTAGTGGCTGAAGATGGAATCAGACTCTTCACTTGATTGTTTGGGGGACACATGGATTTGACGGTAAATTGCTTTGGGAATTGTTTAGATCCTTTTTGGCATTCTAGGCTCTTTGCTCCTGACCATCCTGTGTACGGCAAGTAAAGAGGCAAGATCCGTGCAGAGCGCACTGCGCAGGTCATTGGCCCCCCGCGCCCGCCGCTCCCCCCCCACCCACAAACCTACACACGAAGACACGCATCCGGGTACACACACACACAGACACAGAGAGAGAGAGAGAGAGAGAGAGAGAGAGAGAGAGAGAGAGAGAGAGAGAGAGAGAGAGAGAGAGAGAGAGAGAGAG